AAGTTTAATGTACTTCTAGTTGGAGTAAGCGCTCTGTCCTGTCCCCTCTTCTTTTCCTTGGTGTTTGCGCTTTTCAATTTTTATACAATGTGTAGCCAACTAGCCCAATAGTTAATTTTGCTGTCAAAAGTGTCCAGTCTCTGCTCAAGACTTAACAACAAAAATGGAAAAGCTGAGGCTTGCGCCAAGAAACACGCCGCGCAGTACGTGGAATGCGCAACGTCAGTTGTTTACGAAATACCCATGACTGGCGGAAAAATGTATACAGTGATCTGTCGTTAATATATGGACACCTCCGTTCCCGTAAAACATCGTCCATAATGTGAGTTGTCCATAAAAACGAGACAAAAATGCGCGTGTTTTCCTAGTTTGTCCAAGAAAGTAGTGTCCGCAAGCGGGGTATCAATATTAACGGGGTCCATATTAACGAGACGTGACTACAGGGCAAACGGGGAGGTGCATCAACGATAGGGCACGCGAGCACGCCCTACCTGTTAGAAGTTCCACATCGGCTAATCTAGCAATTCACTGCGATAGTTGTCCGTCCTAATCTTGACAAAACACAACGAGTTGGAAAACTAAAAAAACAATACAGAAAGAATTGTTTGAAGCGTACTGCATTAGAGTAAAGGGCGAGGATAGCTGCGTGGGTGGGCCGTCAGTGCACTTAACTGAGAAAGAGTTTTCTTTTTTAAAGACCGACGACCAGTTCGCGCTTTCCACTTTTCGCCCGCTTCCTCCTCTCCCTCCTACCCTCTCCACCCACGCCCGCCCCTCTTGGTCCCTTCTTTCCATCCTTCGCTTCCCTCGCCCGAAGGCGTGGAGAGGAGGGTCTTCTGCCTTGCAGAATCTCGAGTCTGGTCGTCGGCCTTTAAATGTGATTAATAAACGTTCATTTGTAAGTTAGCGATTGGTCCTGTCTCGTCTTCCTCGTGTCCTCGTTTCTTGGGGCGCTTCGCCAGTTAAACTTGTATCGTTTGCTGCTCACATACTTCAAGTAAAACGGGGTTTAAAAAAAACTACCGCTAAAACACGTTTTTTAATTTTTTTTTTTTTTTTTTTTTTAAGAAAAGCGATTTTGAAGAGGTAAACTGGGCCCGTTTGCTTGAAGCCGGTTCACTTTAACCGCGGTAAAAAGATAACCGCATTTCCCTACGAGGGGATTTTAAGTCACGTGACCGGTAGAGCAAGGACGTAGGGGAAACATGGCGGCTCCCCTGTGAGCGAGCGTCGCCCCTTTGGAACTAATAGGGAGTTGTAGCAGATCGTTTTTCTCCTCCGCTACGGTACCCCCGAAGAAAACGCCGCAGCTGCGCCTGCGCGCCGCCAGCCTTCTCTGCATAGTTCAAGGTCTTGTGGTGGATTACGGAGCGCTATCCGGGTGCTTAGCGGGCGGCGGGAACGGTCTACTACAATTCCCTAATATGTCGTTGTAGCTGCAATATGGGGCGCGTTAGTCAGCAATGAATGGTGCAGGAAACTTTTGTTTTGCTTTACTTCAATTAAACCGCAAAGCATGATAAATTACTTTGCCGCATTATTGAGACAGTCTTTCGGTTCTGGCCATTCCTAAGGCTAAATGAACGCCGTGATTGTCGGATGGCAACGTATTTTAAGGGCCATAGTGGATTGCCTTGAATCAATCGACCGAGTATTGATAGCGCGCAGAAGCAGACAGCGTCCCAATAGACCTATTGCTATATTACGCAAGCATCAAGGAGAATGCAGGGATTGGTGTTCCACGCGCCGCACGTGCTAACCTCAACACTCGTAACTTTTCTAAAGCAAATACCTAAAACAAATGGCATCTAGCACGCGCGCTCGTCAACGCTTTATTTTGGTTATTTACTTAAAATCTTTCATACGGGGAAGGCGTGCACGTGTGGCACGTGGAACACCAATCCCTGTATTCTCCTCCTTGATGCTTGGGTAATATTGGCGGCGTGAGCGATGGGGAGCGTCGCTGTGATCGGCCTTACACAATTGGCCGATTGCTGTCATTGACCTCAGGAAAGTATTTCTCAAGGATGGAAATAAGAGGAATGTAAGAACTTGAATTTTGACGGTGTTAGCAGTGTTTCTTTGAGAACGCAATTATTTCAAGCTTCCGCCATGCTCATTACAAACACCATCGGCCTTGTTGCTCGCAAGGCAATGACGTCACGAAAGGGAGCCATAAGAAGGCGCCACCAAAACATCTCGCCGCTAATAGCAAAGGGTCTATACACCTTTTGCTAAATTTTCCAAGCACCAAGGCGCATGCCATAAGTGTAGGTACACGCGCTGCACGTGGTGGCGTCTGCAGTAGTAGCTGTTCTATAGTGTAGCAAAAGCCTAATACAAAGTTTGCCTTGCACGCGCGTTCCTTAAAGCTTTAGTATGTTTGTTTACTTCGAATCTTTTACACGGAGAAGGCCAGCGCGCGAAGCGTAGAATTACACTTACAGTATTCTCCATGATGCTTGGGTAATTTAACAATTTGTATATTTTCACTAAAGCCGAACTGCACAATTTTCAATTTATGATAGTGTTATATAGAGTTCTTACATGCTGACCAACCATGCTGCCAGTTTACCGCACGCCTTTCGGTGCTCACTTCTAGCTCGTCATTTCTAGGACTGAACATCGTCGTCCTCTTTCGAACTTGGAAGGAAATTTCAAGGAGACTTGCCTTCACCTCAAACAGGGAAACATTTAGACATTTCCCAGACATGGGTTAATTTAGTTTTATTTTATCCAATATCTATACCACAAGCAACAAAACGTGTTCCTTGGGCTCAAATGTATGCCGCGCTGCGTCGCGAAAACCCGGTGGCCGCGTTCTTGAGTGTCCTCTTTTCGGGAACCTTTCCTCGAAAGCCACTCATATTCGCTCCAACCCGTAGGTGACACCGGCTACCATTCCATAATAAAATGGAGCTATCGCCCATCCATCCCTCGCCAAACACGACTAGGTACTTGTAGGTACCTAGAAAGGAAGGGCGGATATTTTTTTATTTTTTTTTACCGCAGTTAAATTTAACCGGCTTTGAGCAAACCGGTCCTTGAGATTTGAGATCCCAATTTTGCAACCCATTCGGACGTTGTGTGTGTGTGTGTGTGTGTTTTTTGTTCTTTGTCTTTATTTAATAATACTGTTTTAACTTTTCAGTAGGACAAAAAGCCGTGAGTTTCTTTACCATGAGCATTTCCAAGAAGGTACCTGCTATAACTCGTATCAACGGCGAGGTGTGTTCGATTGTATTTGATCCCTTGCACTATATTCAAGCACAGGAGTTTGAACCTGAAGAAGGGGACGTCATTCAGGTGATCCTACATTTCCTCAGTTCCTTCGAAATATAGCCAACACACGGGTGCACGATCACCCTTTTTTCATAATTGAGAAATAAGAATATTTACCGCGTAACTCGAATGAATCGTGGGCTCTTTGAAGAAAGAGTATAAATCGGTCTTTAACTTATCTCGCTAAAGTTTTTTTTTAGTTGCCCAAAACAAAGCAGTTTAAAGGGGCGATGCAACGAGTTTTGTATTTTGCGGAAATACCGCTTAGAGCGGATCCCTGACGTTAATGACCTGTGAAATACCCATTCGTTTTTCACCACACGCAATCGAAGTCGCAGAAAAAAATAAAGAAAAACAAGCAGAGTTCACCCCCTCAACTCGCAGCCAGAACAAGTGGCCACGTGATCTGGAGCCGATTATATGCCGCCAATGTTGATCATAGCCATGCGCTGGGGTTGGCAAGGCACAGGACACGCGCTGCGTTCCAGACATTGTTATGGTTCGGCTGTTGTCGTCATGCAGCGATTGGACACAGGACACTACCCGAATGCTTCTCGAGCTATAGATTATCACGAGCCCAAATCGAGTGCCGACGCAATGCTCGGGTCCAGTCTATGAGCCGCATTCAAATATCGTCACTGGGCGGTACTGCTACCGCCCAGCTACGTCATCATGTTTTGCGAAGGAGAGATTGAATGAAAACGCTCGGTTTTGTCCTCGAAATTACAGTGCAACAAAGGAGTTTCTTGGTCAGTGGCATTGTGTGCGAGTATCCTTGAGTCCCACTAGTGCCAGTAAGCTCGTGTAAAGTGAAAAACATTCCAATTGAATATCGTTGCATCGCCCCTTTAAGTATAAAAGATTAAAAAAATGAACTTCCTTTATTAAATTGTAAACAATTAAAAACATGATTTTGCTACTTACAGCGTCCGTCTTCTAACACGAGGTGTCTAATTGGCGCAAGAACCGAGAGATGGAGGTAGGAAAGATGAGGGCGAAGTCATTGACCTCCAATAGCAGACGATGTTTAATGAACCAAATATGGCGTTTGCTTGTTTGGTCTAGTGTATAATATATTTCAAATATTTACCAACAAAACATAATGGAGGAACACAAACCGAACAAAAACGAATTTTTACAGGTATATTTCGGCTACATATTACCGGCTGCGGCCAACTCTCAGGTGTCGCGTCACACAAAGGTCTTTTGATTTCAGATCGCCGCCACATATTAAAATGCACACTATTAATTGTTTTAATGTTTACTCATAAAAGGTAATTGTTTTAAATATGTATACAAAACGTAGAATCGTCGACCGCCTTTTGAAATAATCATAACTCGATACGCCAAGAAATTGATTAATGTGGTATCCTAAAAGAACAAAGCTGCATGTCTACTCACTCGGTGGAAGTAAAGATTTGCGCGGTAAAACTGTGCTCACAATTCGGTCGTTATCCTGAACATTTTTGCTGAAGTATAGAACAAAAGTGACATACGGATGACGTAACTTGGGGTACGTCGCACGACCCTTCAAAAATATGGGGCAATAAATTCAACACAACTCGACGCGGTAAGATTTGGTCACCTCTCCGACACGCTGTACGATTCGTAGGACGCGAGGGAGCGCCACGTGTTTCGCGCTTAGAATAAACACGTCTGCGCCTGCACAGTGGGAGGCATACGACATCGATATCTCTCTTTGATTAAAGATACTCAGGATGAGTGATAATAAGCTGCTCCAAGAATACGACACCCTTCGTTTATTAACTTGTTAGTCACCATAGTGAAGTATTGTACTTCACAATAGTGACTTTTTGCGATAATAACGTGCATTAGGGTCACGAACCACTTAAGAAAAACACGGCGGGGGGCGAGTCTAGCTGATCATCTTATTATCGTTTCGTATCCAATGGCATTGCGGCATTAGCCGATACGAACGTTCAAGAGTCAAACACGAAGCAAGAAGCGTAAAGATGATAAGCCACGCCCAGGGCTTCCCAAGCTTTCAGAGACTACAGAAGATGTAACACATCATTACAAATATGCAGGTGTCGTATCCCAGAACAGGCACCATTTGGTTCAGCAAATGATCCAGCTCATCGTGAACGGAGGTCAGTCGGCACGGACACTGGCCGAGTTCACGCAAAGATCCCCATTCCTGGAGATACATGGACCCCGAGAGACATCAGACGCTCCTAGACTCCTACGGACGCACCTGCCGATGAACAGACTGCGGCTCAGCGGAAAATCGAAATACGTTTACGTTGCCAGAAACCCCTGGGATTGCTGCATGTCCAACTTCCACATGATGCGAGATCTTCCGGCGTTCCGTTTCGCCGACGGAAGTTTCAAAGACTTCCTAGACGTGTTTCTCGATGGACAATCCGGCTTCGGTGACTATTTCGACCACGTCGTCTCGGGTCACAGCCGCAGACACGATGCGAATGTGTTTTTCGTGACCTACGAAGAGATTGTTAAAGACAGGGCTTGCGTTGTTCTGAAGTTGGCAGACTTCTTGGGCAAAGGTTACGGCGAAGCTTTGCGGATTAACGGCAGATTTATGGAACTCATTGTGGAGGGAAGCGGTGTGGACTTTATGAGGGATGTATTTGAGTGTACCTTGGGTGAGTTTTCCCAAGTATTCGGGCGCGGGTTAGTTCCGGAGGAATTTGTAGCCGAGAGGATTAACGGTACAAAAAAGGGGAAATACAACCTTGTCCGAAAAGGAGCAGTAGGTGACTGGAGATCGCACTTCTCGCAGGAAAATATGCTAAAAATGCAGATGAAGATTGACGATACGTTTAAGGGTACTGACATTATGAGTCTTTGGATGCGTGAGGGAATTTGTGATGTCCTTTAATTCTTATCTCGTTTATGGAGTCACTGGTTGCTCTTTATCATAGCTTGCTAGCAACGTTTAAAAAAAAAAAGACTTACGACAAGAGGCGTTGACTTTTTGTTTCATTGTCGGTCGCGTCATTATTATGTTTTAGGAGTTTCTGTCTGAAACAACTGATTATCGCAGTGTGATCAGACAACCTAGAAAATATTAGATGCTTCTATCCATTGTTCTATAACGACATTGGTGAATAGAATAAAGTATTCCTCATTTCATCTCGTTTTAGTTTTTGATTTCTAGTAGATATCGATGCTCATGAAACATTCAAATACCTGCCCCTGTGGTCACTGATAATTTAACGCAAACTTCGTTCCGAAGTCGAACAAAATTAAATGACTGACATCGATTTACGGAGACTAAATACGAGCGCTGCCTAAGTTTTAAACTAAAGGGAAACAGCGATTCACTCTAAAACTGATATTACTAATACTACCACCAGCTTCTTAGCGGAATTTTAGCTGGTTGGTTGTTTGTAGAGCAACATTGTGCCCTCATGTCATCTTCATTTTTGAGGAGGTTTTGTTCGTACAAAATATCTTTCGCCGTGTTTTTTTCTTTTTTAATGAATCGTTTTTAGGCTACACGCTAAGACATTCCTGCACGTCTACACACCAGCAATGCACTAAGCCAATCTCTGCAATCTACGAAATCAACTCGGCAAACGATGAGGCGGAACGTCTGTTTAGATCTTAAATTTAAGTCTGCGCTGTAGCATTACGCAATGCAAGCCTGACGCTTTGCATTGCGTGATGCCATAGCGCAGACTTCATTTTTAGGTTTAAACGGATGTTCCGCCTCATCATTCGCAGAGTTGATTCCGTAGATCGCAGAGATTGGCTATTCGAATGTTTTGCGGGTAAGTAGACGTGCAGGCATCTCTTAGAGTGTAGGTTTTCAGATTAAGGCTAGCCAGAAAATGCTTAAGTGCGTACTGAACCGAAATTTGGATTTCGCTAAATAAGGCCGCAGAAGCGTTGAACGGGAGGCTACGAACTCCAAAACATCGCTTACACATCGATATCTTAAATGAAGGGCCGTACATTTTGGAAAAGAATGGCGCGATCAAGCGAGGTCTTTGACGTCACTGCCCTCTGCCAGAATCTGAGAATGAGGGGAAGTGGCCTCGCTTCTCTCCTCGCTTCGGTTGACCAGTTCGACGGGACGTAGCCGGGAGGAAAAAGAACAGGAATCATGACGTACCTTTTCTCGTCGGCCTAGTCGGCTGTGTTCGATTGCGCACTTCTTTTACAAAAATACGGCGATCCGTTAGAAACATCCCTGTATAAGTGATGTTTTGGGGTTTTGCAACGTCCCGCCTATCCGTCCAGCCTTGTTTTGTGAGCTCAAAATTTCGGTTCGGTTCAGTATCCCTTTAACCGCCGATTTCCCAGCTAAGTTTAACGGGGGAACTGATATCACATAACTTGATGTCACGTGACTTCCACACAATTTTTTTAAGTTTCCCCTCAAAAATAAGCGGAAAAATTGACACGTCATCTGCCAGAAATTTTTCCGCTAAATTTAGCGGGAAAATGACGTCACATGGATTGATGTCACCTGACCTACATCCAGTTTTCCCGCTAAATTTACGGGGTAAAATTAACACGTGACCGGCCGCAGCCCGTCACTGCGCATACTCTGTAGACCCAGGCCGACCGGACGGGTAGTGCCAATGGGGTGAAGAGGATTGGGCGAACTCAAAGGGGAGGAGTCAATGCGGTGGATAGCAGTGGAGAGTCCTGGAGGAAGCTGGGGGGGCTCGAGAAGCGTTTATATACACCGTTTCACGAAAAGTTGGCGTACTGTAGAGGCTACAACCCCCGCTAGCCAATAAGAGCGTCGGAGTGAGGCACTTGACACCATGCCCGGATACGTGTATGTCAATGCGCCAAAAAGAAAAAAAGAATACTATACATCTGGTTTACTGAGCAAGCGGATGAGGACACTAGAAAAACCTGGGACAGAGTAAATGATCCAATTGGCTTTGCTCAAATACGCATGTACTTCATAACTTCATAGAACAGGAGACAGTAGATTTTTTAATGACTATTTTGCTTACATAGTGACTCTCCTAGCAGCTGCAGGTTTTTGATCCCCACCCCCAGCCACTGAGACGTGTCACAAATGGCCTCGTCATGCAGGTAATTAAAATGGCTAAAATTAGAGCAACAGTTGGCAGCCTTCAAGTACACTCTAAGAAAAAGTGAGCACCCCCCCTAGTCATCGTGCGTTTTGACGGCTGTAACTACCCCACAGGCTTACCTAACTACCCACTGGGCTCGAGCCATTGAGAGTTAGCACCCTGTTGGAAGGTGACAAGCATGGGGTAGTCACGTTTTATAAACTCTTGAATTGAACATTCAAGTGCATGCAGTCGTCTAATAGTAAAAGTCACTTCAAAAATCTCAAAAAGTACTTAAAACTTGTTTTCTTTGTGCGTTGGTTATTATTTATTCAAATTTAAACCGCTCGAAACAAGCGTGTGGCTCATTTCGCCTAAACTGGCAGAAAACAAACAAGTACAGGCAACATTGGTACGCACCTACTAAAACCCGAGGCAGATAAAAAGTATCGCGGTTGTCCTTTTTGGTTCCGTCGCGGGTTTTACGATGTACAACAGTAAACAACAGCTGGCAGCTGGCGTCGTGCTCGAGGAATTTAACCAAATCTCTAGAAAAGCACAGAAAGCTACGCACAGGCGTGAGTTGACTTGAATGTTCGTCGGACGAGATACTCTTGTCGTCTTTTATTGTGCGGTTCAGTAAAGAGCGTGCTCTCAATAAAAGTGTGATCGGTCAGTTCTGCGTGCAGTTCAGTTGCAAGTGGCCTCCTCGGTTCCGCCCGTTCCGCCGAACTTGCGCTCCTGTCGTACCCAATTTTTTTGCTTGCAAGTGCAGTGAAGTATGAAGCATTGCACACCACGACTCAGGCCGGACGGGACGAACCTACACAGATATCTGCGATCATGTTCGTGTATTTCACTATTTCTCCGTCTCGGGATACATGATTCGCCTTCACTGGCTCATTGGGCACACTTCATCGAGCATACTCGATAAAAAAAAAAAAAAATGCTCAAACAAGTATGTGTCATCCAAGGCGGAGTACTTCGAAAGGGACTAGGATTTCAGGCCTTCCAGTACGCGTTCCTTTTATCTATATAAAAGATTCCAAGTAAATTTCCAAAAATAATGCATTGGCAAACATATACGTGCTATTTGTTTTAGATTTTTTTTTTTTTTTTAGAAAAAGTACTGCTGGAGACGACAGCAGGTGCAGCGCAGAGAACTATGTTCTCGGCGTTCTTTGATGCTCAACAGCTCATTCACACTGGAAGCGGATCCGCATTCACAAAGCGGTTGTGAGCGCGGTTGTATAAAGATCCAGTCCAATTGCACGCGCACTTGATGTCATGGAGTGCGCGTGCAATCGTACTGGATATTTATACAACCGCGATCACAACTGCTTTACAAACGCGGATCCGCTTCCAGTGTGAATGAGCGGTAAGGCCGGTTCAGACACTTGCGTTTGAATGAGTTTGACAGCTTTGCGTCGAGAACCGAAAGCGACTCACCGGCACGACTGTGCTTCGTATGAAGCGTGGAATCCAATTCAAGGAATCATCTTCGCACGCGATGTAAGCAGCAGGGATGCCCTGGTTTCTCGCTGCCGCAACGCAGTTAGACGCAGTCAAACGCCACTGTCTGAACCAGGCTTTACATAATTTAGCATACGTATTTCGCGTTCGTTGCAGGTGAAGGCACGGGCCCGAAAGCGGCAATTCTGCACTGTCCTCTTGGCGCGAGCGCGAGCGCATAGAACGCATATTTGAAAGACACACGCTTGAGCAGAAACAATTGTAGCGAAAAGAAGAAAACTGAAACAACGCTTTGGGTAGGACCGGCGGACGGGCTTCGCTAGAATCACCTGCGCGCGCTCAGTGTACTCAACATTTACTCAACCGCCGCTGAAGTCATTCGGATATGTAAAAAAAGAAAAGAAAATGCATCAGCGTGTTCAGAAAGTTGTGATCGCAGAAATTGTTTTCGGTAATTAATACAATTAATTAAACAGGCTTCTGTATACTTAAAGTGTAGGCTAGCGAGAAAACGAAACTGACCAAAACGTGACGTGTAGCAACTATTCAGATTTATTTATAACCTGCAGTTCACTTTTGCAATGGATTACATTAGAGATACGAGCGCTTTCCTAAGGGCAGCAGAGGAAAATAATATATACGCGTAAACCTTGCACAGTCTTTCCGTATTTATGCAAAATATGACAGTGGTCACCATCCTAATCGGTCACAGAAAATACACCAGTATATAAGGTGGCGGTGTCGACTAGACGTGTGTGTAGGAATGTAGAGTGTCAATATCTTATAAAGTACCTTGTGCTGTGTCTGAACGCGTTCCTGTGGAGAATGCTATGGTGTCTGTATGTCGGGTATGTGTGAAGTGTGAGTAGAATATGTACATACGTGAATGTCTGGCGAAGCGCTAAACACAAAGACTGTTGGTTTCGTTTTTTTCTAGTTTGAGCCCTGTCCGTTAGGTGGCGCGTGGCGCCGCCCAATTCAAGGAGTCGCGCGTTTATGTGTCTACTTATTTGAGTGAAAAACATGGAGGCGTTCCATGGCTCTACACAGCTGACGGAGCAGCCCCAAAGGGTTCGGTTCTCAGCCTCTAGTCCCAGTGGGATCAGTCTCCTAGCCAGTTGAATGGGTGTTCCGTGCGGTGAATAGCGCGAAGTGCGTGCACAAACGCGGTGAGGATTACCAGGGACTTGAAAGTGGATAACGAATGCTAACAGGTGAGCAGGAGCATTGAACGATCGGAACCGACGCCGCTTAAATCGGTGATGCTTTGCCTCGCCGCTGTCAACCGAAACCGCCGGA